TTGACTGACAGGGCTTTCTAAATAGTTTGCGAATGAATAAATCTCTCAGCGTATAGCAAATAATAACTGATTGATTTTCGCCTGGCGATGATTCATTGCGAGTACAAAATAACTAATAGAAATCCTTTTTACACCTAATCTAGGAACCACCAGAAATTTGTTATATGTTTTACCAATGCTTCAATTTACAATAACTATGGTTTGACGAAACATTGTATATAAACATAAGATCTTGAACTAAATACATAAAAGGAAAAATGTGAAAATATATAATTATATTATAACGTATTTTATATAATTATATTATATAAAATGTATTATTATATTATGAATTAGTGAACGTATTTATCAAAGAGTATTTGGTAGAGAAAAAATTATTAAGTTTACATTTAAAAACAAAAACCGAAACAACTTATAATAGACCAAGATTTATGTAAATATAATGCAAAATTCATGTGTAGACATAATATAAAATTTACATGTAATAAAAAGTGGTTGTGCATGTTTTGAAATTAGTATTTCTTTTAATTAATTTTGAATGAATTTTCATTTCTTACTTGTGTTATTTCTAATGGTATATCGTTAAGCGTTTTAGTAAAAAAAGGATTGCTAAATATTTTTGTTTTGAGTATTGGAACTATCAACTGTTTAATGTTGCGTATGCAAGTGCTTTAAAAAAAATGTTTATAATTTTCGTATAAATTTTGTGGAATTTTAATTCAAATATTTTTTAAATCAAGGTGCCAATTGCTAAAGTTTGTACATCTTTTAATTAAATGGTGCCTAACGGTTTATATTTGTCATAAATTAGAATGAGTATGTTGATTTTTTTAAAAATTTATTTACTTATTTTTTTTATTTTTTATTTATTTATTTATTTTTTTTNTTACACACTACATGTTAAATTTAGTAAAACAGATGAAAGATAAAACTATGATTGTTCCATTATCATTAGTTCATTAATCATTTTATTTATTCATTTGTTTCTTTATTTATTTTTGGAAAATCGAGCTCGTTGATTGTAAGAAATTGACCTAAATCTGAGATTATTATAAATGGAGCGTTTCAATTCAATTCCATTCTTTCTCTCTCTCTCTCTCTCTCTCTCTCTCTCTCTCTCTCTCTCTCTCTCTTCCTCCTCTCCTTCGTTTTATCTATCTAGGAGTTTTACTGAAAGATGTCGGATTTTGTCAACAACAATGAATATCTACTTAGAATTCCAATATACGATGGTCGGGCTTTGTAAGAAAATGTGAACGTTTGTTAACCTTCAATACGTACAAACTTTAACAATTGGTCCCTTGATTTCCAAAATATTTAAATTAAAACTCTACACAATTTATCCGAAAATTATAAACAGTTTTAAAATGCACTTGCATACGCAACATTAAACCAATTGATAGTTCCAATACCCAAAACAAAAACATATAATTGTTTCATTCCTGATGTAGTGGATATATTTTTCAAATGCTTGTCAAAGAAACTGAGTATTTTTTTTCTCAAATTGATCTTGTCTGCGATTTTTGTAATCAAATGATCATATTACAAGCTGATATAAATTATATCGAAATATTAAAATATTGTTACTGTTGGCTGTAGGTTAGATTGGCAATTTGCAAAACCATCTCAAAAAATCAGAATTGATTTGAATATCGTTGAGACAAGTGTACGTTGAATAGCAACTTAATACAAGTTTAATACTTAAATTTAAAAATCACATTCTTAATCGATGTGCTCCTGAGTCACTGTTGGCTAATTTGTAGTCAGAAGGGACTTTTACACCTGCTGGTCTTTATAGAAGTTTTGTTCTTCCCGTCACGTCCACCCTCTGTCAACCTTATCCCACCACACTTACAAGCCGGCGTTGAAAAGGCCAAAAAATTATTAATCGATAGCTATACAGCGTAAGACTGGATTTGAAATTCGCATAGGGGATTTTATACATTTATGAAAAGAAACGGTATTCAAAGCGACAGGGAAGAGAGACTGTTGATCCGATAACTTTAATATCCTTTTCTTGTTGAAAAGGGCTGTCTCAAGGCGGCAAAACCTATTTCTAGTTTCGTGCGACCCGTGTCAGATCCTCGGTGCCGTTCGTCTGATCATACAGAGAAAATTCTTTTCTTTTTTTATGCCTTCTTGTCAATCTCGAATCTACTCTTGATATGTCCTATTTTATATACGGTTATTCGATAGAACTAAACATTACGCATTTTTATGTAAATTTTGTTCTTGCCAAAAATGAGATCACGAAAATATAACGATGAACTTTTCTTTTCCATACACGTGAAACAAATTATACAAAATTATCTCAAAAATGCTCACGATTACGGTTTAAACCGGTGGTAATTGTTGTCACATATTCGTCCATGGATGACGTACACCTGGACACGTTTCCACAAATCTCGACCAATTTTCAACCGAATATATATCAAACGGAAATGTGGAATCTCCAACGGTCAATACAGCAGATATCGATAATTATTGCCGATGGCCATTCATCTCGCTAATATTGAGTTTTAATGGGCAATGGTGTTTGACCAAATGTTGCTTGCACCTTGCTTACAGGCCGTTTCGACACCAACATCCGTTAGCTCGACATAAACAAACCGGAAAAATCCTACTGATCCACTTTATTTTTAAAAACCATTTATGCAATGTGAAATGGAAAAATTGAATCAAATATTCTTCTACCATCTTCGTTATTAAGGAAAAGTTACTATTACTGTTTATTAGTACACGTTTCTATGTTCAACGACAAAAACAAAATACATAAGGAGACAAATTTGATTTTACTTCTTAACCTAAATTGAAAAATGTCAGTGAACCAGGAAAAGAAACTTGTTTCTTCCGTTGTTGTTCCGTTTCTCTCTCTCTCTCTCACACAACACACACACACACAGAGAAAGAGAGAGAGAGAGAGAGAGAGAGAGAGAGAGAGAGAGAGAGAGAGAGAGAGAGAGAGAGAGCGAGAGAGAGTTTGATTATTTATCTATGATTTTTAATTAATGTTGTTAGATATGGTTGACAATTATGAAGTATGCTACTCACCATTCCTATAGAACGGACGGGTTGTAGATCATTCCGATATCAACTCTCTCTCTTTCTCTCTCTCATCAATCACTCTTTCCATCTATCTATTTATCTACCTGTGCATATATTTAAACTTCTCATTTTCTCTCTCTTTCTTCACTCACTCTCTCTTTCTCATCTCTTTCCCTCTCTCTTTATCTTTCTCTTTCTCTCACCTTGCTTCTCTCACTATTCCAGAAACTTCTTTGCGTTCTTACTTCTCTTTCTCTTTATGCATCTATCTATCAGTCAATGTGTTTCATCTATCGGATTTTATATTATGCCTGTATCATTTTCACAAATACACTATATTCATCTCTCTCTCTTCCCTATGCCTTCTCTCACTCCCACTCTCTCTCTCTTCTCCCCCTCTCTCTTCTCCCCCCTCTCTCTCTCTTCTCCTTCTCCCTTTCACTCTCTCTCTCTCTCTTTCTATCTCTCTCAATTGTGTTTGTGCATTTTATGCTCTCTGTTTTTTCATTATTTCTGGCTGAAAAAATCGAAAAGCAGCAGGACGGATTATCAAACTATCGTGTCCATTTCTGTTCTGAATATTTACAAATGCTCAAAACATTTTTCCAAGAAATATTATATGTTATGTGTGGTGTTTAGGACCGTTAGCCAATGATTATTTGGAGATCGTGAGGTGCGGTCTGGTATGACGTAGGTTTTAGAAAAACATTTTCTTTATTATGCCAACGTTTCGGTCTTTATTGAGATCATCTCCAGGACACAAAGTGTTTGTTTTCCGTGTAGATGTGTCATTCTTGTGTGTCGTGTTGATTGTTGTCTCTCAGCATGACACATTTACACGGAAAACAAACGTTTTGAGTCCTGAAGATGATCTCCATAAAGATGAAAACGTTGGCATAATAAAGAAAATGTTTTTCTAAAACCTACGTCACACGAAACCGCACCTCACGATCTACAAATAATCAGTATATGTGTGGTGATTAGTGACCATTAGTCGATGATTATTCGGAGATCGTGAGATGCCGTCTGTTTGACGTAGGTTTTAGAAAAATATTTTCTTTATCGTGCCAATGTTCGATCTTTATGGGATCATCTTCAGAGCTCAAAGTGTTTGTTTTCTGCGTAATTGTGCCATTCTTGCGTGTAGTGTTGAGAGTGATCCGAATAATCATAATCATTATATGTTATATATATTATAAATGAGTTAAATTATAATAAGGTGACACTATCTAAGATAATAAGAGAATTGAAGGATCAAAAATAACTATTGAGAAAGAATAAATGTATCATCTTCTTCTTAGAAATTTCAAATTAAGCAATTCACAAATGAAAAATATAAGTCTTCAAAATATGTAATATTTTTATATCATTTTTGTATAATATGAATGTACTAAATGTTTAGATTTAATTAAATCTAGCGATTTAGTCACTGTGGTTACGAAAAATATTTAGTAAAAATTATGTGAATGACGGGAAAATGAACTAACTATCGCTTATAATAATGGTATACCTGTCAATAATTGTATTGATTTTTCTGCTAGTAGAAACTGCAGCATGGTAGACGCCCTGTGCCTAAACCGTTAAGGAAAGTCGAATTGTTTTTGTCTAATGTTTAATCGATTGGACTATTTTAGAAAGAGGTGAAATGTGAATTAAGGTTAAATAATAAAAATTCGTGTAGGTCAGGTACTTTCATGAAACTAAATCAACTAAGATTTTATTTGAGAAAAGGAAATCGATGAGTCGCGACAAATAGGCCGTTTTATCATTTATCCTTTCCAATTTCCCCACTATTAAGCATTAATAATTTTATAACTTTTACTAACATTAAAATGCATATTTGTACAAATTGCACCCCACCCTGACCTGGACACTGTTGAGTGGGGGTCCCGCTGGAGTGCACTGCCTCCAGCCGGCTTCCCTTCATCGGCATTGCCATTGCCTGGCCAGGCTTCGTTAAGGCAGCATCACCGTACACCCACACATAAAACACATAGAAAAAAAAACTAAAAAAAGGCCATAAAACACTAGTCTTCTCGCCACAACTTCTTAACAAGTAAGTACTCGGAACTATACACTAAGTAGAACGAGCGAGCTAGTGTCCCCAAAAACATCCAACGGCCAATCGTCGGTAGTTTCCTAGTGATAAGTGATTTTGACGATCGATATTAACAATTACGTAGTTTTTTAATTTTCTTTTCATATTGTAGTGTTAAACTTTTTGATAACATTTTAGTTTTTGTTTTCTTTTGTCGCTTTTGAAAGTGAATAACAGTGAATTAATTTTTCATCATTTTTCCTTTCAAGAACTCTTCAAAAAAGCAATTATATAAAAGCCGTAAGTAATTCATTTTTTTACCTCTTTTGAAAGAAACTACACCAATTTAAATACATCTGACATGTACTGTCTTTTGAAAACACATTTGAATAAATTCTAAATATCCAATACGAAGAATGTTAATCACTGTTAATCCACTTCATATTAACATTTTAGCTAAGCACAAGCATTATCAATAGATACTTTTTAAATTATAACACTCAGATTAGTGTAACTCAACCGTAACTAAAAGTTTTTATTAAAAATTTAAAATGTTAACTAAAATGTAATAAATTCGCGAGAAAATGCTTGCTTCATAAACATTGGAGCCTGACGTTACGTTATTATTGAATAAACTTTACACTCATACAAAATATCCTCTAATTAAATTTTAGTTAAAAAAAAGAAGTGATAAATCAGTTATTTTACGTTCTAATTTCCTCGGATTGTAAATACAGCAGGTTAAACGGTTTAAATGAAAACTGTCGGACTTATTTTCCTAACCAGGAAATAAAGCCGGCTGGCTTCGTTTAATAGATTTCACCGGTAAGCCCTATAACTGACACGGTGCGACCTTTATTGGACGAGCTTAGTTGCGAATTTTCTAAATCCTGCCTAGGACAAAACGTATTTTCTCTTTTGGATTGTTATGTTAACGTCCTTGTTAAATGTTGTTACTATCGAAGGCCATTTTGTACCTCTGCTATTAAAATACGGTCAAATTTCCTTTAAAATAACCACTTAAAATGTTAGGATTTGCATACTTAAATTTTTTTAAATAATTTAACAACTCACTGTACTGTAGTATATAGTTAATAGTGTGATCAGACGAAATTCCAACGTTTGTAAAGGATTACCTCTAAATCCCTCCAAATAAATAAAACTTCTCTTGGTTAAGTCCGCGTTGTGTCTGCGGTATTGCAAAAAAATCTAGTCGATATTTTACTGATGAATTTTTTTACTAAAATAAAGTTATCTTAGCGACTTGCAGAGGAGATTAGAAACGAAATCTATTGATAAGAGAAGTGTTTAAGTATATTTGGAAAATAGAAAACCAAACTTGGCTTAGAGATGAAAATCTTTAAAAGCTGCGTTTTGATTTATAATTTATTAGCATCCGGAGTCAAATGTTTGCATATTTTCATCAGATAATTTTCTTCCAGGCAAGGAAAGGACTTTTTTTTTCCAAAAACAAGTTTCATTAAGTATCACAAATATGCTTTCTTTCGATACTTCAGATATACACATGATTTTGTTCAATCCTATCTCGGATTAGAAAAGATTGAAATAACCATAGAAAATCTGATTAACTTTTGTTAGTCCAATATATGTATAACTTATTTGTGGTTGAAACAAGTGTTGATTTGCGATCTCCTACATATTTTTACATTTTTCACCCATTGTAATTAATCAAAAATCAACTACTATAAATTATTTATTATTCATCAAATGGTTTATTGATTCTCAAAATGCACAGTAGAATTTAATTGGACGGCAGGAAGTTGAATCAATAACATCACGTTTTTCCAAGATTTCTTGATAAATCTCAAAAAGTAAATCTTTATTTAAAAAGGGAGGAAAAAGGAAAAAAGATTAAATTCGAATGGAGCAAAGTGTGAAGTGTCCCAGGGATGAGGGCTGTTGCTACCCGGGTAGGTTACCCCCGGCTATTAATCCCCTCCCTTTGAAAAGGCCAGCAAGGGTTGCTTTTAACTTAAAACCATTTTTTCTTGTCTGTTGAAAAATTTTCTTTTTGCTTATTCTTTTTTAAATTAATGACACAATTTTTCAAAATGTTTTTCAAAGCTTCTCTAAATAATTTAACCATTCTAATAAATTTTTCACTTATATTTAAAGAAAGTCAGAATATGCTTTTACAGAAAAGTCTTAATGTATTGACAATTTTTGTCATATTGGCAATCCAAATCATTAAATAAGATAATGCAACTAAGTAAAGTAAAATAATATATTTTATGTAATTTGGTCGTTACTGATATTACAGTTATTCCTCATATAGCTATTTTGATTTGGTTATATTGTTTATACATGGCCAGTTTTTAACCATTCTGTAAGCAATACACAATTAGGTTTATTTTAAAATCTCTCTCTCTCTCTCTCTCTCTCTCTCTCTCTCTCTCTCTCTCTCTCTCTCTCTCTCTCTCTCTCTCTCTCTCTCTCTCTCTCTCTCTCGGATTTCACACGATACCGGTAAGAACGCTTATTACATTACATTCCAGCGATGGCTTTTCAGCCCCGTACATTTGTTAATTGGTAGATAAAAACTGATACAAAACAGGTTAGACACAAGCATACTACATCCAAAAATATTTTCGTGTGAGAGAGCACAGAAATTGGAGCAGGTCAAACATAGGTGTTTTGCAGATCTTATACTACAAAGTTAAGACATTTTTATATGCACTCATAATATCAGCGAATAGCCGCACGCGCAGTTAGGGCAATTTTAGTGTCTGTCGTATGGACTAGTATCCAAACTGTGATCTGGTTCAACTCAGAAACGTCTTTTCAGCTCTACTATGAACTATACCTATTCACCAAAGTCACAGTGGACAACACGCATAGAAAAACAACTTTTTTGGATAAGTTGAGTACGACTTGTAAACTAGCATCTTAGAACTATATCATACACATATCAGCATCTATAATAGAAATTATAAACTATTAAAAAAATAACACACTTGTACATTGACAGAACTGTTCATTACACGAACAAGCTTTCAGCACGCGCGCGCTTTAGTAATTGAAGTATCTGACCTAAGTACTAGTATTAAACTGTGATCAGGTTCAACTCAGAAACGGCTTTTCAACACTTGTGCTATAATTTTTTTAATTTTCTTAATAAAAAGAAAAAGAACGTCATATCTGTTCAGGTAGTGGATAACACACATATTCGAAAAACTGGAGTTTCTGATCTGCAAACTAACATATCAGAACTTTGGTAGGTCGTACGTAGGGACCTTTTATTTATGCAAGACACGATTAAATATTAAAAAACGACATATGAATGCACTCGCAGAAGCCCAGTCCATAACACCACAAATTTGCACACATACGTTTAGCTAATTGGAATACCTTACCTGTGAAGTGGAGTAGCATAATTGTGCTCAACTGTCGTGCTCATGAGTGTTTCAGCCCGTAAACAAAACTTTGTTAACTATAAGTTAAAACATACACACTTACATTTGTATAAAACACAGTGCATAACTTAGGAATAGTATCAGAACTGTGGTCAGGTTCAACCCAGGAGCGGCTTTTCAACACTTGTACTTTAATTTATTTTTATTTCGGAAGTAAAAAGAAAAATAACATCATACCAACCACACACATTCGGATAACTGGAGTATCTGACCTGTGGTCTAGCATATTCGAACGTTGATAGGTCGTAGGTAGGGACCTTTTATTTATACAAGACACTATTAACTATTAAAAAACGACATACATATACACACGCAGAAGCACAATACATACGCGCACATACGCTTTGAACGAATAGGAGTATCTAACCTGACAAGTAGAGTATCAGAAAGATTACAAACTGTCGTACAAATGGGCGTTTTTGGCTGAATATCAAAAGTAAATAAAAAATCAAATTACAAATGCAAGCACACCATCGGAAGTATTAGACTGAAATCAGATCGCATCCAGGAATAATTAAACTATTATACTGCAAATTACATATTACCTTTTAAGTATATGTACTTTATGTTAGTTATGTTACTTAAGAAAAGACATTCCCATAAAGATTTTTTTGACTTTGCATGTTCAAGCACATACTTTTTACAAGACCATAATTTACTTGGCAATGTTGTTTATAGGTCAAAAACTTAGCAGATAGGACAAAGCATGCGCATGCTTTATTCTAACTGGAAGAAATGTGATAAACAGTTTTACCCATGGAGGTTTCAGCTGTTATACAAGAGGTTGTCGTCTATACAGATAAAAAATATACATAATTCACAAAGCACATTCTCGTTTTCGGGTTACTCAAGGATAAGATTGTGATGAAGTTGTACGACGCATCATGGCCGCATTATTCAACTATTTTTTATATTTGTTAGTCTCCTTCACTGGTCTAGTCCAACTAGCTGTAATGGACCGTACGTTTGTCAGTGTATACGTGTAGTAAACAGTTTATAGTGGTAAGGATTTTTCTCTTTCGCACATAAACTTTCGTCTATTGTACATCTACTTAAGGTTTTCTTGAAAGATTTTTCGTTTCTATGAAGTAAAGAAATCTCAGGTGTATGGTACCACGATCTATACAGTCACCTTCATCCATAGTTATTGCGTAGACGTTCCATAGGATAATATGTTTTATTGTCTAGGTATAATCGATTTAAATCAATTAACGATAGTCCATTTTTTAAGGTGTTACTTTTCTGAAACGTGTCCAGTAAATAAATCAGGTTTTTTCCGAAAATTTCTTTCTGTTGCGTACGATATTTTCTTTCTACAAGTTGGCCTGGTTTACGTTCTCACTATTTGTTTTGTGCTTTAGTTACCCAAGTATCCAGTTCTTGTTTAATGTGGCTGTAGTTTATGCCGCAAGATGGAATTTGGGAGTATGTTTATGAAGCTCCATTTCTAGTTAGTTAGGAGAAGGACAAACCACAGACACGCTGATAGGCAACTGAAATGTCTGACCTCTGAATGAGCAAAACTGTAGTAACCCTTGCGTTTTATCACTGACTATACAGTGAAAAAGAACTCATTACAGGCGC